GGGAAAGGGGGAGGAAAGGGGGGGAAGGGAATAGGGTGGGAAAAAAGGGGAAAGGGAAGGGGAAATAGGGGACGAAGAGGAGGAAAGGGAAAATAGGGGGGGAAAGGGGAGGAAAGGGAAAAAGGAGGAAGAAGGGGGAAGGGAGAAGAAGGGGAGGGAAAGGGAAGGGGAGGGAAGGGAAGAGGGTGGGAAAAGGGGGAAAGAGAGGGGAAAATAGGGGAAGAAGGGGAGGAAAGGGATAAAGGGAGAAGGGGGAAAAGGGAAGAAGGGAAGGGAAAGGGAAAAGGGAGGAAGGGGAAAAAAGGGGGAAGAGGGAGGAAAGGGAGAAAAGGGGAGGAATGGGAGGGAATGGAAAAGGGGGAGTAATGGGGAAATAGGGGGGAAAAGAGGAAGGAAGGGGAAAAGGAAAAAGTGGGAATGGGAGGGAAAAGGGGGGGTTGGGGGGAAGAGGGAAAAAAATGGGCAAAATAACCAAGGGAAAAGGGAAAATAAAGAAGGAAAAAGGAAAAGGAAGAAAAGGGGAAAAGGTGGAAATGGGGGAAAGGGAGGAAATAAATGGGAAAAGGAGGAAAAGGGGGGGGGAAGAGGGGGATAGAGGGGGAAAAGGGACCCCTTCCACTAGAGCAGGTTGCTCCAGTCCCCATCCAACCTGGCCTTGAACACTGCCAGGGATGGAGCATCCCAACCTTCTCCATTCAACCCATTCCAATGTCCCACCACCTTCATGGTGGAGAACTTTACCCTTAGATCACATCCAGCTCTTCCCTCTTCCAAACGGAAGCTGTTTTTCCCCATCCCATCCCTCCAGCCCTTGTTCAAAGCCCATCTCCACGTTTCTGGTGGCCTCTTTTTGGTCCTAGAAGGTGCTCCAAGGTCTCCATGGACCCTTCTTCAGGCTGGAGAACCCCAGCTCCCTCTATCTCCATAGCAGAGTTGATCCAGCCCTTGGAGCATCTCCATGGCCTCCTTTGGCCTTCCTCCAACAGCTCCATTGACCTTCTTATGTTCTCCAAGTTCTCCAAGTGGGGTGTCACCACAGTGGGGATGAGTCCACATGTGCCACCACAATCAACCTCAGAACTTCAAGCCATGGGGCAAACATAAGTCCCAGTTTTGGTAGAAATCAGAGGATTTGACCATTTTCTCCCCTTCTGCAGCAGAAGAACCATGAACCGGGGTGAAGCTGATGTTCTCCTGAGGGGCTGCACTATCGTGTTCTGGGGTGAGTTCAAACCAGGTGGAGAAATAGACCAAAACTTGCCCAATTTGCCCCAAAATGGCCTCAAAATGAGAGGTTTGGGTTCAAGGAGACACGTTTTGCACCTCCAAAGAGTCATGGGATGGGTTGGGGTGGAAGGACCTCAAGGAACATCTGGTTCCAAGTCCATGAGCCCATGAGATGGGCTGGGACAACTTGAACTAGAGCAGGTTGCTCCGATAGTTGATCAAATGGAAGTCCATCAAATCAATGTCCATCAGGTCAATGTCCATCAAATCTAAAGTCCATCAAATCAAAGTTCAATAGATCAATTGTCCACCCCAAGCCCGCCTTGAGGTGGACATTACCCACACTTGACTTCATGGGTGATGAAGACACCAATGGCCAATTCTCCTCTTCCAGGGCTGCTTTGGTTGCTCAGCGTCTCCGCATCAGCCCCACCTCACCTTGGAGAAGACTTCGTGGTGGCCTTCATGCAGAACGGTTTGCAGCAGACCCTCAACAGTGACTTCAAGCTGCTCCTCACAGGTTACTCACCCTTTACGTCCATCACCATCTCCATGAAGAAGCCAGGCTTGAGGATGACGGTGCAGGCCACCACTGGCCAAACCATCCTGGTGAAGATCCCACCTCAAGCAGAGATGGTTGGGAGCAAAGTCTTCGACAACACCGTGGTGGTGAAGGCCAACAATGCCATCTCCGTGGTCATGGTCAATGAGAAGCCCACCTCGGTGGACTCAACCGTGGTGCACCCAGTGCACACTTGGGGCACCGAGTACCACGTTGTGACCCCCAATGTGGGCACCGACCGCTATGGAGAGTTTGTGGTGGTCTCTTGGGATGAACCCACCATGGTTGATGTCCACCTCAAGGCCACGGTGACCTACCAAGGCCGGACTTACCCTCGGGGCTCAGTTCTTCCCATCAAACTAGAGCCTTTCCAAGCAGCCCAAATCCAAAGTCCATCTGATATGTCTGGCACCAGGATCATGGCCCACAAACCGGTGGCCGTCTTCACCGGTCACACTTGCTTGGCCAGGTTCACTCAATGTGACCATCTGGTGGAGCAGCTCCAACCTGTTTCTAGCTGGGGAACCACCTTCATCGTGCCACCGTTGCCCTTTGAGACTCAAGCCGACATCATCTACGTGTCCACCTCACAGAAGACCCGTGTGGAGTCTCAACATGGTGTCTCCAAAGAGGTCCGGGAGCTACGGCCAAGCAGGTCAACGCTCTATGGTCTCCAAGCCTTCAACACCTTGTATCTGTCAGCCAGTGCTGGCATCCAGGTCATCTTCTTTGCTGATGGAGGTACCAAGGGCTCCATTTCTTATGACCCCTTCTTCATGACCATCCCAGATGTCTCCAGCTACTGTCACTCTTACAACATCATCGCCTTGGACGGGTATGAGAACTATGCCCTGCTCATAGCCAAGACCTCGGAGACATCTGCAATGATGCTCAACAAAAGCCCCTTGAGGAACGTCATGTGGAAGAACGTCCCAGGAACCGACTACTCCTGGGCTGAGCAGAGCTTGGGCAACCAGTTCTCGGTCCATATGGTGGAGAATGAGTTGTCCCCCTTTGGGTTGCTGAGTGTGGGGATCCGGGAGCAGAAAGCCTATGGGTTGGCGGCTGTTTGTGACAGTGGTGAGTGTCCCATGGCCACCTTCTTCACCTCCTTTCTACTTCCTTTAGGTGGCCAAACCCACCTGAGAGAGGTTGTGATCCATAAGTGATCCATAGATTAACGGTCTGTCAATGGAAGGAGCCTCAAGTGGTCAACCCAGACGTTCCAAGTCCGAGCCCTGGAGGTGCTGGTTGACCATCTACAGTGCTGGTGACCACAAGTGGTCAACCTCAGATGCTCAAGCCCAAGCTTAAGGTGGTTAAACCCACCTGGGTTAGATCCTGGCTTTAACATAGTAGAGCTCTAGAGCTGCTGGTTGACCATCTATGGTGATGATGGCCACAAGTGGTCAACCCATATGTTCATGTCCAAGCTCTGGAGGTGCTGGTTGAGCATCTATGGTGATGGTGATGCTGTCCCATGGTCTCCCCATGGACCATTCCATGTGTGGTTCCTTCTAGATCCCTGCCGGCTCCTGAAGTGCCGCAAGAAGGAGACCTGCAAGTTGGAGAAGGGGGTGGCCACCTGCATCCATGACTACATGGGCACCTGCATGGGCTCACAGGCCTTGCAGTACCACACCTTTGATGGGATGACCATGGACATCCGTGGTGGTTGCACCTACACCATTGCCAAGTACTGTGGCAACGATCCCACCTTGGTGCCTTTCATTGTGGAGGAGAAGAAGAGTGAAGGCAACATCAAGGAGTGGTTGACCAAGGTCTATGTGTATGGTTCCAACATCTCCATCCACATAGGGGAAGGAGGTAAAATCCAGGTGGGTTCTTCCAGGTCTTGGAAGTGCTATTCCATGGACAAAGCCAAGTGGAAGAGGGTAAAACACGGTGGTGGGTGAGGTTGGCATAAGAACCTAAGGAGGACTACCAAAACCGTGGAGAATTGGGCCACACAGGTGAAGGGAAGGGTGTTCTGGACCTACTGAGATGCCCTCAGAGGTGTCTCCCACCAAACCATGGCCACTTTTGGGTTAGAATCAAGGAAAAGGCAGGCTTAAGGCCGTAAGTCCACCATGAAATGGGGTTTTGGACTCATAGATGATCAACCAACCTTCTCCTTCTCCTTTCCTCCAAGGTCAACAACAAGCCCATCAATGTACCAACCACATTAGAAGATGGGAAGGTCCAGATCTCCCAAAACGAAGGTAGGACCATCCTCCAAACAGCTTTTGGGCTGCAGGTGACCTATGATGAAGACTGGGCCATAATGGTGGCCGTGCCCAGCAGCTACTTTGGGGCTACCTGTGGGCTCTGTGGCAACTTCAATGAGGACACTGAGGATGAGATGACCCTTCCTGATGGCACCCAAGCTGCTAACATGGAGGACTGGGCTGAAAGCTGGCGAGATGCCTCCTGCCAAGATGATTGTGAAGGCCAGGAGATGCTGCAGGACACGTGTGGTGAGTTCCTATGGGGGTCTCCAAGCACTGTAGGGGAGAAACCCACGGAGATCTGGTCATGGGTGTCCAAGAGGTGCTGCCCAGCCCATTGAGTTGGTGCTTGGAGGTGTCAACCAAGTTGATGTCAACCAACATCAGCAAAGGGTTGGCTTGTTCTTTCCATGCCAAACCACCCCGTAGTCCACTTTCAGCTCCATGACACCCATCATCCATGTAGGACTTCTTTGAGGGACATCCCCAGGAGGTGTCTCTTGGGCTTGGGCTCACTTGTAGGCATCATCTGAGCCAACATCTCCAGTGATGTCCCTCTAAGTGCTTAGTTCATGCTTTGTTTGAGGTCTTCTTCTCAACTCTCACCCCGACAGCTCAAAGATGCCCCCAAAACAGCCACTTTGAGGCCTGTGGGACAGCGTGTCCAGCCACCTGCACCCACCCCAGAGGTCCCACCTCCTGCAGTGAACCATGTACCCCGAGGTGCCATTGCAACGAGGGCTTCGTCCTCCACAACCACACATGTATCCCGATGGAGACCTGCACTTGTGTCCACAATGGTCGCTCCTACAAGGCCCAAGAGGAGTTTTGGGATGATGGGACGTGCCAAAGCTGGTGTAGATGCGATGGTGGCCAAGTGACCTGTAGGAAGAGGGGGTGTAAAGCCCATGAGAAGTGTGTGGTGGTCAACGGTGTCCCAAGGTGCCAGGCCATGAAGCACCTCACATGCATTGGGACGGGTGACCCTCACTACACCACCTTCGATGGGTTGAGATATGACTTCCAAGGGACCTGCATCTACCAGTTTGCGGCCCTCTGCACCCAAAAGGACCCCAAACTGGTCCCATTCACTGTCAAGGTGGAGAACAACAACCGGGGCAGCAAAGCTGTGTCCTTCACCAAGACCCTCACCTTGGAGGTCTACGGCAACGTCATCACCATGAGCCAGGAGCATCCACGCAAGGTCAAGGTAGGTGGCCACCAAAACCACATTCAACCTGCAGCTAAACTGCTCATTTCCTGCTTTTCCTGCCCCCAAACCCCCTTTTCCCCTCATTTTTCCATGAATAACATCAAAACCCATCCCACATCCCATCGTCCTTCTTGGTTCTCCACTCCCATATGGCCTTTGGAGTGCAACATTCCCTTTCTCCAGCTGCAAAGTGACTCAATTCCTTTGGGAATGGTTCTATTCTCACCTTCTCCTGGCCAAAGTGTTGCTCATAGTGGTTGGGAACAGCTTTTCCCTTGTTTTTTGTCTTGGAACGTTGTTTTCTCATTGAAGAGTGAAGCCTCCACCTGGAAACCCTCCAAGAACTTTGGTGGTTCTTGGAGGAACGTCCAGATCTTGAGCAATCTCAATGTTCTTGAGAACTGCATCCATGGAAAGTGTTTCACAACCCTCCCTAGATCTTGACTCAGTTGGATTTGGCTGGAGACTCTTCCTGCCTTACGGAAAACCACCCAAATCCCGAGTGATTGGGGGTTGGTTTGGAAGTTCTCCACGTGGAAAGTGTTTCTCAACCCCAACTTGGGTGGAGTTGGACCAGGAAACCTCTCCCAAAAGGACTTCCAAGACCTAAAGGGGCTACAAGGAAGCTGGGAGGGGGCTTTGGACGAGGAGATGGAGGGATGGGATGAGGAGAAACAGCTTCCAGCTGGAAGATGGAAGAGGTAGATGGGATATGAGGAAGAAGTTCTCCCCTATGAGGGTGGCGGGACATTGGAATGGGTTGAACTGAGAAGGTTGGGATGAACCTGGAAGGGTTCAAGGCCAATTGAATGGGAGCAACCTGGTCTAGTGGAAGGTGCTCATGTCCTTAGATGGTCTTCAAGGCCCCTTCCAACCCAAACCTATGCAACCACCCATATCTTGAGCAGGTTGCATGAGCTTGGGTCCACCACCAACCTTCTCCAACCACCTCTCCAGGTCAACGGCGCCTTCGTGGAGCTCCCATTCACCAAGAAGGACCAGTTTGAGCTCTACCACAGTGGTGTCCATGGCTTTGCCCGCACAGCCTTTGGTCTAAGGGTGAGCTTCGACTGGTACAGCTATGCCCGTGTCCTCCTCCCTGAGGTCTACGCTGGTGCCGTCTGTGGCCTCTGTGGCAATGCCAATGGAGATGCCGACGATGACTTTGTGACCCGCGATGGCCAACGGGCCACCGATGAGATCCACTTGGCCAATAGCTGGAAGGTTGGAGATGTCCCTGGTTGCTCCTCTGGTTGCGAAGGGGATTGTTCGAGGTGCAACCAAGAGGAGAAAGAACCCTACCGTGGGGATGGCTATTGTGGGGTCATCACCAAGGCTGAAGGACCATTCAGGGCTTGTCATGGTGTGGTCAACCCAGTGGCCTTCCTGGAGGATTGTGCCTTTGATGCCTGTCACTACAAAGGTCACCGGGACACCTTGTGTAAAGCCATTGCTGCCTATGTGACCGAGTGTCAAAGCCATGGAGTCAACGTGGAGCCATGGAGGACACCAACCTTCTGTGGTGAGTGGGGTCAGAAGGAGGTTCTCCATCCTGCCAGGCCAGGAAATGAAGGGTTGGAGGTCAACCACCCATTGTGGCTTTGCTTAGAGCCAGTGGAAGCCCCAAAACTCTTCCAAAGTTGGATTGATTTTCCCCATATCCAACATCTCCTTGGGATGGAATGGGTTTATCTTCTCCCTTCACAGCTCCAAGGCCAAAGGTTGAGGTTGGAAGCTTCCAGAGAAACATTCCTTCCATCCTTCACCCATATAGTCCTCCAGATCCTTCCTAGATGCAGGAATGGGAACGCCAAACCCATCCCCATGGACCTTCTCATCCTGCTGCTTCCAATGGCTTCATCCTTCATCTTCTTCTCCTTCCAGGTCCTTCTTGCCCTCGTCATTCCCACTACGAGCTCTGTGGGACCAGCTGCCCAACCACATGCCGTGGTATCTCCAATGCCTGTGGCTCAACCCCATGCACTGAAGGTTGCTTCTGCGACCAGGGCTTTGTCCTCAGCGGGGACGAGTGTGTCCCGGTGGACGAGTGTGGTTGTGAGCACCAGGACCTCTACTACAAGAAGGGTGAGGTCTTCTTCTCGTCATGCCGGGAGAGGTGCCGTTGTGAAGCCAACGGGGTGGTGGAGTGCCAAGAGGTCTTCTGCGGTGCCCATGAGGAGTGTCGGGTGGAGGATGGGGTCCTGGGGTGCTACCCCACCAGTTATGGGCGCTTGGTGGTGTCTGGTGACCCCCATTACGTGACGTTTGATGGAAGAGCCTTTGACCTCCCGGGTTCCTGCACCTACGTCTTGGTGCAGCTCTGCAAGCCGGAGAAGTGGTTGATGGACTTCTCGGTGCTGCTGGAGCATGATGTGGGCCACCGGGGCAACATGGCCTTGATGAAGAAGGTGGTCACCTCCATCCATGGCCACACGGTCAGCATGGAGAGGGGACGGCGCTGGGAGGTCATGGTAAGTTGAGTGGGTGCCACATGGACATGTAGATATGGCCCATGTCTCCACGTAAACCCTTCCTCATCCCACATCCACACCTTAGGTGGACGGAGAACGCTACACGCTGCCCTTGGTCACCAAGGACAAGAAGCTACGGGTTGGCCAAGAAGGCAACAACATTGTCCTCCAGACCATGGCTGGCATCCGGCTCCTCTACAACGTGGCCACCTACCTCCTGGTCACCATCCCTGATGCCTACAAGGGCCGCGTGTGTGGATTAGGTGGCAACTACAACGGGGACCCCAGTGATGACTTCCAGTTGCCTGGTGGCTCCTTGGCACAGAGCACCGAGGACTTTGTCACCTCCTGGAAGGTCCATGCGGAGGATGGAACATGCACCGATGGTTGCACCAGCACGGTCTGCCCTATGTGTGATGCCACCGATGTTGCTCCCTACGTGGGCAGTGGCTCCTGTGGGATCATCCGGGATCCGATGGGACCTTTCAGCTCCTGCCACCCAAAGGTGAGCCCGGTGGAGTATTTCAACCATTGTCTCCACGATGTCTGTGCTGCTGCTGGAGCTCCTGAGGTCCTCTGCCACAGCATCCAAGCCTATGCTGCTGCTTGTCAAGCTGCCACCGCTGAGGTCAAAGCGTGGAGAACATCCACTTTCTGCCGTAAGTTCTCCAGAACATCTCCAAGGAGCCACCTCAGCTCCTGGTCTCCTCCAAACCCCACCGTTTCCCCCATAAAACCCATCCAGTTTGACCACTGTGGCTTTGGAGGCAAGTTCTCCATCATTGGCCACACCAAGAAGACATACAAGCGACCTCTGTGGTATCAAAGCTGCCTTTTGCTTAACCCACCCCAAACTCCATCGAATAGCCCCCAAATCACCTTCAACCCACCTAAAGAAGCTCATTCTGGGGCTTCAATCACCCATTTCTCTCCCAAAACCCACCCTAGAAGGAAGGAATTCCATCCCACCACCTCCAGAACATCATCATGTATCTAAGGAGGTGGGAATGGGTGTCCAGCGATGTGCTTGTGATCTGGAATGCTTCCATCTGGGTGTTCAAAGCAGCATTTGGTTGGTTGAACATCTTCTGGTGGCATCAGAGGTGGCCAAGAGCATTGCTGGGGATGTCCCATTGGGTCCAGATCATGTTTTGGGTGGCAATAATGGTGTTTCTCCTTCTTGTCCAGCTCTCTCCTGTCCACCCCATAGTCACTATGAGCTCTGCACCCGCACGTGTGACTTCACGTGCTCCAGCCTCTCCATGCCGGCCCCATGCACTTGGACATGCTTTGAGGGATGTCAATGTGATGATGGGTACCTCTTCGATGGAGATACCTGCGTGTCCTTGGAGCAATGTGGCTGCTTGCACCAGGGAAGGTACTTCAAGGTGAGGTTGGCCATCAAGGGCTTTGGTTGAGGGAGGGAAGTGGATTGTCCCATCTAGATGATGCGACTGGTTTGGAGATTCCATCTTCAATGAGGTGGGTTGTCCCATCTCATTGATGTAACTGGTTTGAGGCCTCAACCTTCAATGAGTTGGGTTGTCCCATCAAGATGATGCCACAGGCTTGGGACCTCCATCTTTGATGGGATCACCTTAAGGCCACATATCCAGAAGAACACTGTTGAGAACATCCCAAAATCCATGTTCTGTTCCTCTGGAAAAGGAAAGCCAATTCATTGAGTTCCACCATCTCCACCATCATCTCCATGTCCTGATTTTTCTCTCCCTTTGGGATCTCCTCCTCCATTGGAGATGGGAAATCCCACCCCCAGAACCTGGAGATGGTTGATCCATAGGGACCAACCTCTGATCTTTCCCTTTCCAGGCAGGTGAGACCATCATCTCCAACAACTGCACCACAAGATGCACTTGCCACCCATCCCAGGGCCTTGTCTGTGAGGACATCCAGTGTCCCCAAGACCAGGTCTGCTCCACACGGGACGGGGCTCAGCTCTGCGTCAAGCAGCAAGGCCAATGTCACCTCACCCCTGGGGCCTCCTTGAGCACCTTTGATGGCACCAAGGGAATGCTCCTCACCAGTGGCACCTACAAAGTGGCTGCCCTTTGCAACGAGCAGTCACCCAACTGGTTCAAGGTGGTGGTGGAGGTCAATGAGTGCCGGGAGGACAATGTCCCTGCTGCTGTTGCCATCTTCATCTTCTTCCGTGAGGCTTTCATTACCATCAACACCAACATGGAGGTGTGGGTAAGGTGGGGCAAGGACACGGACAACCCTTGAGGATGACCAAGAGGAGTCATTAAAGGGAGTTGGGTGGGATTACCTCCTCCTCTTGAGGTGTCCAAGCCCTGTTTCATCCCAATCCTCCTTCTCCTTGCTGCAGGTCAATGGTCTCTCCACCCATCTCCCAACCAATGTGTCCAAAGCCATCTCCTTGAGCACCACAGGTGGGAACATCACCATCTCCCATACATCAGGCATGGAAGTGCTCTTCAGCCCCAAAGGCGCGGTGACGGTCACCGTTGGGGCCACCATGGTCAACCGCCTCTGTGCTCCTTGTGGCAACTTCAACGGGGACCCCAAGGATGACCTGAAGCTTCCTGATGGTCGCGTTGTGAGGAGCATCGCTGAGGTGGTTGATGCCTGGAAAGCCAGAGACTTTGTGGGATGGTGAGTGAGCTGCAGACATGTCCCCACCCCAACGGGGGGAGATAGTTTGAAGCTTGGCAGGGTAGGGACCAACCTCCATGGGGCAGCAATGGGTTGGGTACGGTGGCCTCCAAGGATGGGCTCCTCCAGCTTCTTTGGTTTCATCCACAGCGACTGACACACAAAGCCAAGGAAGTGACTCGGGTAAGTGAAGTCTTCTCCTCATTCCTGCCCCACCTCATGCTCCTGGAGCTCCCCAACGGAGGAGGCCTCGCTTGCTCCATCTTCCATAACGAAGAACCTGGATAACTGGGGGGTTCTGGTGTCTCAGCATGGACCAAACATAGAGAGACATATATAGGGAGTAGGAGAACCTTCCAAAATGGGTATAGAACCGTTGTGACCAGTATAGAACCCTTTTAACCCAACCTAGAACCATTTAGCCCAGTATAGAACCATTTTTGACCAGTATAGAACCATTTTGTCCAGTACAGAACTAATTTTGACCAGTAGAGAATCATTTGTCCAGTATAGAACCACTGTGACCAGTAGAGAAGCATTTTAGCCCCATATAGAACTGTTTTAACCCAATCTATAACCATTTTGCCCAGTATAGAACTAGTTCAACCCAATCTAGACCCATTTTAACCCAATCTAGACCCATTTTGCCCCATAAAGCCCCATTTTCCTGACCATGGAGCACCCCAAAACCACCACCTCAAAGCCAACGGAGATGCCTCCAAGCTCCATCCCATCTCCAGCATCTCCTCGCTTGCCCTCGTACCTGTCCCACCACCTTGTCCTCACTCCACCACCTTCCCCACACCCTTCCATAGCGTTGCTTGTTCCACATGTCACCTCCACGCCAATGTCCACCACCCCAATGTGCCCTTATGCCACCATTTTGCACCTTCTTCTCATCTTCTGCTGGCTACAAGGAGGACATCAGACGAGGTCTCAATGATAGGGTGGGTGGTGAGGAGATGACTTCAAGATTTGGTGGCATCCAAGACATGGAAGATGAAGCCAACACCACCATAAGGCTTGAGAACATCCTGACCACCACCCCATGCATGAAGACAGGATGAAACCATGGGCTGACCCCATCAACCCATGGTTCCATTGACCAAAACTCACCTTTTTGGAAGGAGATGATGAACTTTCCACCTCTCCGTGAGGGTAAGGTGGTTTCTCTTCCAAGGGTGGACCTTGATGTCCACCCATATTCCATGTCTTTCAGCTATGCCTCCAAGCCTGTGCGGATGGAAGTGGAAGCCCCCATCTACCCCATGCAATAGGTGAGACCACGTTGGGATTGACATGAGAAGACACTTCCCACCCTCACCGATCCTTGTCCATACTCCATGCTTGCAAGGGCACCAATGGGTATCTCAGGTTGAGGTTCTTCAGTGATGGGAGGAAAACCAGCATGGAGCTATGGTGGACATCAAGGGAGCAGGTCCTATGGCCTCAAACACCTCCAAAACCATGGAAAACACTTGATCCAACCTCAAATTATGGAGGAAAAAGGGATATTTGGGAGAGCTGATCTCCACCAGGTAGAGCTGGAAGCTTGGATGATCCATCTCATGCTGGATCATGAAGAGAAGCCAAAATCAGCTTAAAATCAATACCAACAGACCTGAATCCCATCATTTTCCCCCCAAAATGCACTATTCTTGTCTCCTGGTTTCCATGGAATGCTGCTTGTGGCTGAGTCAACCATTAAACCCTTTTGCTTGTGGCTTTGTGGAGCTTCTGCTTTGAACGTGGGATTGGGAATGGGAGACAGTCCATAGGAGGCCATGGAGATGCTCCAAGGGCTGGTTCAACTCTGCTATGGAGATAGAGGGAGCTGGGGTTGTCCAGCCTGGAGAAGAGAAGGGTCCATGGAGACCTTGGAGCACCTTCTAGCACCTAAAGGAGCCACAGGGAAGCTGGAGAGGGGCTTTGGACAAGGGGTGGAGGGATGGGATGACGAGAAACAGCTTCCAACTGGAAGAGGGAAGCGATGGGATCTGAGGGAGAAGTTCTTCACCATGAGGGTGGTGGGATGTTGGAATGGGTTGAGTGGAGAAGGTTTGGGATGATCAGGTTGGACAGGGCTTGGAGCAACCTGGTCTAGTGGAAGGTGTCCATGTCCCTTGGTTGGAAGGAGATGATCTTCAAGGTCCATCCCAACCCAACCCATTCCTGTTCATCCCAAACCTCCATTCAACCCATTCCAATGTCCCACCTCCACTCCAGAGCTGCTCAAGTCCTGGAATCTTCCACTTCCCACAGCAATCCCACAGGACTGGGGTGACTTGAGAACATCCTGATGGGAACGGTGGTGGAGAACCCACCGGTAACTCATTAGAGCGAATTCCAAAGGCATTGGAACAGATCCCGAAGGAACTGGGGTGAATCCCAATGTAATTAAATCAGATCCCAACCCAATTAAATCAAATCCCAGAGGAAATAATCAAATCCCAATGTCATTGAATCAAATCCCAAAGCAATTAGGACAAAACCCAAAGGAATTGGATCGAATCCCAAAGGAATTGGAGCAGATCCCAAAGCAATTAAATCAAATTGCAACCCAATTAAATCAAATCCCAAAGGAGCTGGAGTGAATCCCAATGTAATTAGGACGAAACCCAAAGGAATTGGAGCGGATCCCAGAGGAATTGGATCAAATCCCAAAGGAATTGGAGCGGATCCCAAAGCAATTCGAACCCCCCAAAGTACTTATAAGAGGATGGAAAAACCCCAAAGGCCCTTCAAATGATCCCAATGGAACTGATTAGAACACATCCCAGAGGAATTCGAACCCCCCCAAGAGCAGTGAATAGAAACATCGGAGCCATTAACTGGAATATTAAAGGAATTAATAGAAATATCCAAGTAATTAGAAGAAATATACAAGTAATTAATAGAGCCATCTAAGTAATTAATAGAAATATCCAAGTAATTAATAGAAACATCCAAGTAATTAATAGAAATATCCAAGTAATTAGTAGAAATATCGAAGTATTAATAAAATTATCAAAGTATTAATAGAAATATCAGAGCAATTAACAGAAATATCAAGCAATTAATAGAAGTATCAGAGCAATTAATGGAGATATCAGAGGAATTAATAGAGATATCAAACAATTAATAGAAATATGGGTGCTATAGGGTGTCTATGGGGGTCTATGGGTGCTATGGGGTGCCAATGGGTGCTATGGG